CTGCGTGCTCAGACACGTTTAAGCACGCGTGTCTCCAGTATTTTATTTTCGACGTACATTCGGTTAATCTATCTCTTATAGTCTACTAATCCTAGTTAATGTCAAAAATTGTGGGTAGTGTGAAGAAGCATATCCAGGTAATAAAAGATAGTAAGAGAAATTAAACTTTGTGTTAAATAATAATACAGAATATTTAACACAAAATGTGTAAAGGGCCATATTCGATCAAAGTAAGTTTTAATGCCTAATAATTTAGTGCCTATTGTGTAAATTTTTTACAATTTTTAATTTAAACGAATTATACCTCGATTAATGTCCGTTGATTTTTCACTTACATTTTTATTTACAGTGTCTAAAAAAAGGATGTTCTTTCTATATATGTATATTATTAGTTACAATAATTGATATCATCACAACAATGTTGATTGAATTAGCAAGTCGCCCGCACGAAATTCGAAAGATTCCTGAGATAATATTTTTTGCAATAAATTATTTATAGTATTTTAAAGATGCTTATTATCATCAATAATAATAATGAATTGCTTATTATTAATTTAATTTGTAATATTTCGTACTTTAGCTTCAGTCTCAGACTGTGTTTTAAGATCGATAATAAAATCGACGTAAAGCTTTAATTCGAAAATTGTAAGAATTTACACAGTGTAACATTAGGCACTGACAATCTTGACTGAGTATGACTTTCTTCACTCTTAAGTTGAACATTTCTCGATCCATTTTTTACTTAATATAGAATATATTAATGAAAAAAAAAATAAGAAAATTTTAAAGTAGTTTATTGAAGCAACGATGTATGGAAATAGTCTCTTATGTGTAATAAACTTGCTCTCCCCTTTCTGAAATATTCTAAATTAATAATAAATTAATATTAATAATAAATGAACTAAATTAATAATAAATAAATTATAAAAAATGAATTAATTAATAAAAATTGCTCATGTAGAGAGTACTCACCGAATAATGTGAAATCGATCGGTTCACCCACGTAATCTCGCCGTTCCTGGATGGAGCTGAAATTATTTTTTTCGATGTATGAAAAAAATTTGACCGGGAAATACCATGCTGTGGCATCGGAAGTTTGCGCGCGAATTAAATTTCCGAGTAACCCATATACTGACGTAAAATAAGGTCGATGTTCCGGTGGCGCTCCTCTGCAGAGAGAAAAATCCACGCGACCAGCTGAAGTTTTAATAGCGTCGAGTTACAACAGGATATCTTTATAAGAAAACGGAAGTTTCGCTCGCGCGAGTGGAGCTTTTCTGCGGGGATGACGGAACGCAGGGAGAGGGACAGCTTTGTGCCTGGCCCCGCGAGGGTTTCCGATTTTATCCTCCTCCCCCGCGGAGAGAACCGCCATCAATTAAAAAGAAGAAATGCCATTGGTGTTCGAAAGCGGTATTTCAAGCGTTTCAATTCACGGGCTAATACGAAAAGCGGTAGACGTTATTTGAAAATCATGAGAGGCCGCCGTTTATCTTTATCCGTCAAAGAGAGAGAGAGAGAGAGAGAGAATGAGAAAGAAGATGAAGAAGAGGAGGAAAAATAGAGAAACCGCCATAAATTAAAACAATGAAATGTGATTTACTTCAAAATGATATTTTTAGCAGCCGTATTTGTAGACTAACTGTAAAAATAGTAGGCGCTATTTTTAAAAACGGTGAAAGTGATATACCGATCAGTTGCGTTTTCCGGAGAAGACTATCATAAATCACAAGAAACGTACGATGTTTGGAAATGTTTAAATTCTTCCTATAACACACACGAGAATGTAACTGACATTTCTGTAACTCGCAAAGAGATAATAACGGTATTAATGCTGATGCTAGCGATTTACTGGAGGAGTCTCATCGGTGAAACCCCGACTAATCTTTTGCAAAGTTTTCACAATTCTCAAATAAGGATTGTTGCACGTTTCGTTGTTCACCGGTTCCACTCTGATATACCCAATTTTTCCTTATGCTGTTTTCGTTTATAACTTTTTATTTTTCATTAATAAAGGTACCTACTTGGTTTTGCTCCTTAATATATAATACGTATCTAGGCGTTTCTATACTGAAAAAATTCTTTATAATATGTTTTCATTTTTATGGAAGTTACCGAATGAACGGTTTGCTAAAGTATCTAAAAAAAATTTAGCTATACAAAGAAAACGTACTACACGCAAGTACTAATTACTTATTTCAAGTATTTTAAAAGTTCATGCAACCGCAAACCTATTATAAGTTCGTCAAGCATCAAAATACCCCTGTGAAGCTAGCCCCCATTATTTAAAAAAATAATTTTTTTTGAGAGTTCTAAATAGATTTCCAATAGTTCCAGAGTTCCTGATAGGTTTAAAAAATAGTTCTGACCATTAAAGCCATAAAAACGCGATTTAAAAAATGGGGGGCTAACTTCACGAGTTCTGGGTAGCCCCCGTCGAGTTCTGTCGAAAATCCTAATGACAAAAATTCGTAAAATTTGAACTGCAAAAGTTACGAGCGATTATAGGTGTCCATTTTCCAATCTGGAAGATTAAAAAATTTTTTTGAAGGATTTTGACAGTTTTGTCGAGAGTTCTGGATAGCCCCCACAGAGTTCTATAAAATATCTTAATGAGAAAATTGATTAAAAATAACACTTTCAAAGTTATGGCTGTTTTTTAGATGACAATTTCTGGTTCTTCAATGACGTTTTTTTTACTTTCTCGAACGGAACTATTTTTTTTAAACCTATCAGGAACTCTGGAACTATCTAAATCTATCCAGAACTCTAAAAAAAAATAATATTTTTCGAAAATGGGGGGCTGCGTGAAATTAGCTCCCCATTTTTTAAATCGCGTTTTTATGGCTTTAATGGCCAGAACTATTTTTTAAACCTATCAGGAACTCTGGAACTATTGGAAATCTATTCAGAACTCTCAAAAAAAGTTATTTTTTTAAATAATGGGGGGCTAGCTTCACAGGGGTCATCAAAATATATTCCGAATCCTAGTATAAGTTTAATACTTTAATCAAGATTATTAAATTAAAATTGACAAAATATTCTTTGTTAGATAACTATTACTGAAAAAGGAAGAAAAATAAATTGAGTAATTATTTTTCTTAGCAACAGAACGATATTTTTTTTGTGTGTAGATACAGATTTATTCAAATAATTTTGTTGAATTATCTAAATGTAATTATGTAAGACATTCAAACTGAGTGCTGGAATGTCAAAGTTTCTGCACTGCTCATCATGTTGAGTTTCCTAATTATTTTGAAAGTCCAACGAAATTCTTTTCAGAACTGTATATTTAAATTTTTGAATATTTCAACAAAATCTTTCCGTGTATAGTACAAGCAATCAAATTGGGTACCATACTCAAATACACACAACAAGGTGTCAAGAAAACTTTCTCTCGCAATGCAAAACATTCAAAGCAACGTGTTTCTTTCCACGATTTTCATAGTGGCGAGTCTAACTGACGGTACCTGTCGGGGTGCTCTTGTAAGCTTTGACAGGCTTGACTGGTCGAAGTCAAAAATAAGCCGCCTGCCGGTGCGCCATCGATGATTCCGCGCTTCCGGGGCCGCGGCTCAGATTCGGTACCCCCTTTCGCCCCCCCCCCCCCTCGTTCGCGCGAAAGTGTCGGCTTGAGTTCATTAGCCGCGCCGCCGGCGCTGCAGGGACGGCAGCCAGCGGTGTGGTAGAACCGAGTGCTCCTCGTACTTCTTCGACGGTACAATCGATGTCGAAATAGAGTGTTGTAACTAGTAGACGCCGATACAGCGCTGACCATCACCGTGTCGATGACCCGGTGGAGGCGTGCCAACCACCATCCTGCCCGATCCGCGGGAGCCTCCACGTCCATCCTCCCCTCCGTTCCCCTTTCTGCATTTTTCGCCGTTTGCTTCTTCACGAAATTTTCGCGGAGCGGACCAGAAATCCTCGCGGGGGATGGACCTCCTGTCGCCGCCGATCGTCGATCGTCCTCACGCGTGGTGTCGAGTCGGATTTTTCGTAAAAGCGACCGACCGAACCGTCGCTTTTCAACGGCGTGGTTTTCACGTGGTCGCGAGCATATCGATTCCCGGGACGGAGGCGGCAGATCGGATTCTGCGCCCTTTTCCCTTTTACCTCTCCTCCCCCGCCCTTCCGCGTCCCTTCCACTCTCTTGCGTCGCGCGCCGTTCTTCTACCACCTTCCTCTCGTCCCGTAAACGCGAGGATATTTACGGCGAATTATACGATTCCGCTTTTTTTACGCGGACGATTCGCGGCATCGTTTTGATTGTAGGAACGGGGAAGAGGGAAAAGAGGAGGGTAGCGAACGCGGATTCTTTTGTACGTTTCCTTCAGCAATTTATACATCGCAGAAAAATTTAAGCGATCGATCGGACCAGTTTCTCTCTCTCTCTCTCTCTCTCTCTCTCCTCTCTCTCCTCTCTCCTTTCCTCTCCCCTCATCTCGTGGAACGTCATGGACCTACAGCCTACATGCGCGAATAATAACCTCTGGCCGCGTGGCTCGTTATGTAATCCCTCTTTTGCTAGGTCTGGCGGATTGATAAAGATAAGCGGGTCGCACGAACTTTTGGGCCAATTGGTCGATTGTCCAAGCACAGTTACCTTTCCTCGATGAACACGTCGATTACATAAGTCGCGACTTGATGAAGTGCTCCGTTTTGGGATTCAATACGACACATAAAATAGCTCTAATGAATATTATAATACAATAAATAAAAATATTATAACGTTTTAATAAATGTGGAATTCTAATAATTCAGCTTCACACATTCTGGAAAATGAGAGGGAAAAGAGATTGATGATAACGAAGTCCAACATTAGGAATAATGACGCGATACGATAGATTGTTACGTTTGGGAAATTATTTAATTTATCTCGATCATTTTCTTGAATGTTTCTGTTGTTTATATCATAGAATTTTATAGCATAGAATTTTGTGAAATTTTCCGTTATGCATCGAGGATATAGCGACTGATTACGTTAATTTCTTTTCCAGGTTTACTATGCGAAGAAGAAGAGGAGGGCACAGCAAATGCAAGGGGAAGATGGCTCGCATAAGAAAGAGAGGAAACTCTACAACGATGGCTGGGACGACGATAATCATGATTATATCATCAAGAATGGGGAAAAGTTCCTCGATCGATACGAGATCGATTCTTTAATAGGTAAGATAAAAAGAAGACAACAAGCAGTATCGGGTTAACTATTATTTAACGGATAAATACAATATCGTGATGATTTTTTCCGATGATGTAATCGATAATTTTTTACTTCTCGAATATATGTATTTTTTAAATACATAATAAATAAAATAATATGTTGTTTTTAACAACTTGTTTAATAAAAACGTTACATTTATTCGAATTGATTTTTATTTATTTAAGTTAAATTTATGCTACTTATTCAATGTACTTATTATACGTCTCCTGTTTACAGGTAAAGGCAGTTTTGGCCAAGTAGTGAAAGCATTCGACCACGAAGAGCAAACGCAAGTGGCAATAAAAATCATCAAGAACAAGAAGCCTTTTCTTAATCAAGCGCAAATTGAAGTTAGGCTATTGGAAATGATGAACAGAGCGGATACCGACAACAAGTATTATATAGGTATGTCAGTACAAACTATGCGCTACGGTTAGATACCGTGCGACGCGACGCCAAACGCCTTCTCTCTTTCTGATTACAGTTAAACTGAAGAGGCATTTTATGTGGCGAAATCACTTATGTCTGGTATTCGAACTGCTATCGTATAATCTATATGACCTACTTAGAAATACGAATTTCCGAGGAGTGTCATTGAACTTGACAAGAAAGTTTGCACAGCAACTGTGTACTGCCCTCTTGTTCCTGTCTACGCCGGAATTGAACATCATTCACTGTGATCTGAAACCTGAAAACATCCTTTTGTGCAATCCCAAACGAAGTGCGATAAAAATAGTCGACTTTGGTAGCTCGTGTCAACTTGGACAAAGAGTGGGTGTCTTAGAAAGCGCTAATTAGCGCACATTCGCTTTTACTCTGTTGGTCCTTTTCATATGCCTTTCCTTCTTTCTTTTTGCCTTTGCAGATATATCAATATATCCAGTCCAGGTTCTACAGATCTCCGGAAGTCCTGTTAGGAATACCTTATGACCTCGCGATAGACATGTGGAGCCTGGGATGTATTTTAGTAGAAATGCACACGGGAGAACCTCTGTTTAGTGGGGCCAACGAGGTAAAGAATGATCATTATACAAATTCTTTCTAATCGTTCGATTTGTAGGTCTCGATAATTAATTACTAGTACGAGACGCTACTGTATTAAGATATATTCACAAAAAGTTTATCTGATTGGAAAGTGCATGTTACCTTCGATATAATGTAGATCTCTGTTTGGCAACATAAGAAATTTCTCTTATAATTTGTAGGTCGATCAAATGAACAAAATCGTAGAAGTACTAGGAATGCCGCCGAAACATATACTGGACCAAGCGCACAAGGCGCGGAAGTACTTTGACAAAGTCTCCACGGATGGCTCATACGTACTGAAAAAGTCCAAGGATGGTAAAAAATACAAACCTCCCGGCACGAGGCGCTTACACGATATTTTAGGTGTCGAAAGTGGTGGCCCCGGCGGCAGAAGAATGGGGGAGCCGGGCCATTCGATGTCCGATTATCTCAAGTTTAAGGACCTAATTGTACGAATGTTGGATTTCGATCCGAAGACACGGGTAACACCGTATTATGCACTTCAGCACAACTTCTTTAAGAGGACAGCCGATGAGGGGACCAACACGAACGTCGCTGCTGCCAATAGCGCGAGCACGAGTCCGGCAGTGGTGTCGATGAGCCAGGATCACGGTAAGTCCGATTAACCATTTAACGTTATCTCATTTTGCCGAATCACTGTGTAACATAGAGAAGAGAAGTACCGAATACGCATTTATGTGCTTCACATCTGAGTTTCTTCGAAGCTGACAGGTTTTCAATGTTGAATTGTCTCATCCATGCCCACGCCGTGTAATTCCGTGTCGCACGGTTATCACAATTCAAATAACGATAGCTGAAGTTGAAAACGTGTCAGGTTTGCATTGTCACAATAACTGTACCTTAAACGATTAATTGCAGCGAGAAATATGATCTTACTATCAAAGTATGGCTCTATGTCGCTTGATTTCATTCATCATTCATTATTAATATCATATTTGATTACTTCACCTAATGATACATTTAATCCATAGTTTCCTCTGAATCGGTCTTCTCAGCAAATGGGTGCCGCTATAGAAAGAAAAGTCATGACTTTTTTTTATTATTCGCTATCTATATAGATAGTTTTGTATAAATGTAATAATTAAGAGGCAGGTTAATATTTATAATTGCATTCACATGTTCTGTTCAGGCTACAATAGATTACTTGAGAGCTTACAGGAATTCCCAACGTTTGAAATCGTTTTTGCGGACGATTTAAAAGAGAAAAGATGCATTTGATCATGGCTAATGATATCTCTGAGCTGTTATTGACTATCTTTGAGTAATTGAACATAAGGTAGATATAAACAGAAACTCAAGACGGACAGTTCTATTGAGAGTTTAGGAAGGTTTTGATTTGTGCAGAAAATAAGTAATTCTCCATCTTTTTACAATCTTTTAAATCAATGTATTTTTAATTGTTATGTTTTTTTTTAACTGTGATTATCGAGTAATTATTAGGTGATATCAAGACGATTCATTTGTTCTGTATTGTTCAAGGTTAATTATGCTGAAATACACTCGTAATTCCGCGATTAATCTTAATCCCCCTTTTTAATAGTACCTTTTATTTTCTGCGCAAACTAAGCGATACTTGTTGTTGCCCGTAGATATGATGGGGGGACAATACGTGGCTCGATGACTGTCGTATCCGCGGGGCGGCGACGACCTGTCCTAGGCCCCAACCCTAATCTTACTTACTAACATAAGTAAGTTCTGTATCTAACAAACAATCCTATACACGCTAAAAGACTAACGATGTCCCTAATAAATCATATCCTGGCCTCGAATGTATTGCGCGAAGCTTTGCTTGCTTGAAGGTATTCCCTTTTGGGACACGGATTGATATTGCTAGCCCGTGCCTCCATACTTTATCGACACGATGTATTAATACACGATGTATGATTATCGTCTACTGTGAGGTTAATTATTCATTAAAACACGAGACTGTCCTTTTTGATGAATATATCTTAGAACATAAGGACAAAAAAGAGAAAAAAGAAAATAGCATCATGTCACTGCTGGAATATGTTTCCTTTTGTTGTTTTTCGTGTTGTTTTTGCTGTGACTTTAAAAATGACAAATTATTTTACACGAATGTTATACGGGTTGATTATTGCAGAACATATTCCAACTAAAAGTATTGCATCTGTGTTAAGCGAATTTCTGTTTTTGTAGAAAAGTCTCTCATATCATTGTCTTCTAGTTTTTTTGTGCATGCTTTAGCTGCTTGCATCGTGCACTTTACAAGTGCAATGCTGTAAATGGGACATGAAGTTGTAAAGTTTCTGTGAAATAAGTCTTGTCCATATCAGTAATATATATATATACATATATGCATTTACTATTATATACCCCTCTTTCTTAAGTTTGCCTAATGTAAAACCCTAATTGCACATTAACTTATTACGTATATAATTAAGAGAAGATTATGATACAAATCGATTATGCCGATAAACAATTCAATATAATTACTTGAATAATTTTGGCAAATCATTGTTTAAGTGTACACTTTGCGGTAAATAAAGTGCATAGAAACTTTATATAGAAATTAAGATCAACAATTTCATAATTTATCACGTGTCAAATATTTGTTCAATTAACTTACATAAATTTATGAGAATGGGAAAAAAGTAATAATATTCGATATTTATCTAACATGCACAGAATATGTCGTCACGCTCTTACGAATGTGCGTGAAAAAAGGTAGCGGTGGAGATTATTGCCTGCAAATGTCCCTGTAGACGTTTGAAATTTTATTTATCTTTATTCCCATATTAGTGATTATTCGATTGTAAGAGCTAGAGCGATTTTCGTGGATGATTATGGCATTAGTGTGTATATATATATATATCTATATATATATCTATATCGCGAGAAAATGCTATCTTACTTCCTTTATTGACTTTTTTTTTCGATGTCCCAGGACTGGTAACCATGTCGGGACAGGGCAGCAGCAGCAGCAGCGGCGGCGGTAGTCTGCAGCAGATGCAAGCATCAAGTCTCCCTGGTGGTGGCTATCAGCCCATGGACTGTGAGTCCTCGCCCCGTCACACGGGCAGTCGACGTGCCATAACAACGGGCTACCCATCAACGTCGGCCACTGGGGTGCCCACGTCCGCCCCGATGTCCATGCAATCCATGGACAGCTCCCTGATACAGAGCTCTCTTGGATCGTACAATAGCCTAATTATTCCTGGTATACCCCATCTACCTGCGATGATGACCTCACCAATGATTCAGCAGCCGAACTTCTACAACTACGGCTACTCAGCTACTGATACACACGGTATGGTGAGACAGCCGTCAACGGTGTCGTCCGGTAACCAGCGAGATCCAGAGAGAGAAGATAGTCCAATGGTCGGGGTATGCGTCCAACAGAGCCCAGTCGCTATCCACTAAAGTGGCAGAAGGGACAACTGACAGTGGACAATACAGCTTGTCGCGAACGCAAAACCGTGAAGAAAATGAAATAGCTAATTTACGGAGACGGCATGCCTTGAATGATGTTATCGTAGCATTAATGAAAAAATGGTAAGAGAACGGAAAAATGGCATGTACACATCTTGAAAGTCGTTCCCCGATGCTGCTTTCTCACCACAGAGTCAAAAGAAAACAAGAAAAAACATCACGGTGTCGCGATTAGCCTTAACTTCGGCAGTGAATTCAAGAAATTTTTCGGACACGTTGGTTTGGCTGAACAATTCTGAAAAATACAAACGAAATTTCCCGGAAAATCCAAGAAATAACCACAAGTCACAAAGCCCAAATCTCTCTGTATAACAAGAGATCATAGAAACAAAAAAAAAAAGATATATCCTAAGCTCGGCGGCGTTAACGACTATATGAGAAATTCAACGAGTAGAAGAAACTGCGATGGAAGGAAAAAGAGAGGAAAAAGTGAGAGGAAACCTCTATTTCTGTTATGTTGCTGAATTTTCATATTTTTTATTAAGCTGACTGGTCCTATGTTGAAAGTGGGTATATGTGTAACACGGAAGATTGACGAAAGCTTCGAGCATGGACAGACAGTAATGGTCTAGTGAGGATGAACCCAGCTGGCCTCTCGGGTCCTGCCCGATTTCCACAGACACTTTTAGCAGTTTTTACCAAAAACGGCTAAGCGGAAAACTTTCGGCAACCAAACTGTGTGGCCTAGAGAGCGAAAAAGTGATAATTACTATTATTACCGCGTAAAAAAAGATGGAAAAAGTAAGAATTACCAATGTAAGCATGTACTCAAATAGAGTTTTATACACAATGTCACGAATGTAAACGGTTTAGCAAGTACTTGCGAGCAACAAACAGTCGCGTCGACTGCTAGTTATTTGTACAATACACTTAGGTGAATGATAAGAGTGCAGCTTTAGGGTTTAGCTTTTAAGTATGAGGAGGTTTAAATACACACGTACACAAACATTGTAAACTCGAATCTTTTATTTACTTTAATGGAAGACAAGAATGTTGCAAACGTCAGTTTGTTGTCGAACAAGGACTTTAAACAAACGAGGTTTGCGCGGCTTAACAACAATACATATTTATACATAAAAAAAAAACAGTAATAAGAAAGTTAAAAAGCAGCATACACGTAAGATCGAGATCAAGAATGGTATAATCATACAAAGAACTTAGATACTTTATAATAAACAATACACGTACTCGCATACACATGTTTCCAACGCCAATCGTCATTGATTTTTGCCGTTTTGCCCCGATGGTCGCTGCGCTTATGTCATTCGCACCAATCGTAATATAGCCCTTTTATTTATGTAGAGGACTCTACTTTTTTATTCGGCCAAATATTTTAAATTTTGATTTAAAAAATGTGATTTTTTTTATTATTTATGTATTGTAAGACTAGATGACGAACAAAAATAGAAACGTAATAATTTCTTTCTTATTACCATCAATCATATTTTGTCATGAAACTACCAATTGTAAGTGTAGTATAGTACCTGAAGGCAGACCACGAAAATGCAACCATAATCCCTATACCACCCAGATGTTACAAAAGAAAAAAAGATATGACTTTTAATAGAAAATAATAATGATATATGCTGTAAAGAGAAAGAAATCTTAAAGAATTATGCATGTTGCTTTTCTGTAATCACGATAGCAAAATATGAAAATACCAAGTCTGTTTATAAGGTATGTTTTATATATTTGCGGCTTTTTATACTCTTCCATACAAAGAAAATGATATAAACGGAGACTAAGATTTGAAGAATAATTTATCTTTATTATATCATTTATCTCATTATATTTATTACATTATATATGGTACAATGGTGTGTAATAAATTTTTTTTTGTTGATGGATCTTTACCGATTTACCAAACTTTACTTATTAAATTATTTTAAGACGTTCTATGTCTATAATTTTAATTGTCTTTTTGTAGTCTCCGATAAACGTGTGAAGCTACGTGTATAATTCCCAATATAACCGTCATCTTTAACGTTTTAATTGCGATACCTTTTTTGTACGAAAATTTTAATGCGTAAATATAAAGCAGCGGCAAAACAATTTCGTCTGCATGACTGCGACTGTTGTCAAAAGAGCTTGGCCAAAAAAAAGGTATTAGACGACCAAGAGAATTCTTACAATGTATATATATTTTCTGGAAAAATAACGAGTCTCACTGTGAAATTTAGATTTGAATTCTTGTTGTATTAGTTGTAAATATATGAGAAATATAAGATACTTTCGAGTAGCTGAGAAAAGTCTAACGTTTCACAAGCCATTCGATCTGCTAAGAATCATTTTATTCCTGCGGCCTTTCGAATGATTTGTATATTTTTATACACCTGCAATACAAGAACATTTGCAGATACGATTTAATGAGATATACACGAGACATTCTATATTACAACTCAGATGTTGAAGTTTGTTATACTCGAATTTATAATAAGTTACCGAACGAAAACAAATTTTCTAACAATATCTAATAATATATAAATCACCAATGGACAAATAGGAATACGAAACCCACTGACACTTGTATCATAAATGTTTTTATATCGCATTGAGATTTACGGCAATCGGTGCTTAAGATACATTAAATTTCAAGAGTCGTAATGAGTCTGTGTTGTGATTAGATAGCTCGAAAGCAATGCTTAAAATAGATAGATTCACTATGACATAAATAAAATACCTAAAGAGAGAAGAGAGCAGCTCTCCGAAAAATCGTCTAAAAGAAAGAAAGAGGAAACGTAAAACGGGATATGTCGCACCTTACCTCAATGACCTTTTTATATAATTTCCGCAGTTGAAGTTGTACAGAATATGATTTGTTAGGTGTAGAGAGATTAAACGGCGGGACGTTTAGGATTTTCTGTGATAAATTCTGGGCGTCCTCGCAAATAATACCTTGTTGAACGGCAAAAATCAGTACGCTCTATAAGTATAGACAATGTGCGACGTATATATATATATATGTATATGTGTGTAAAAAATATATGTATGTAATATATAATATGTATAATATTACGTGTATATATTATATATAATATTATATATTATGCATATATATATTATATATATATATATATAACATATATGTATAAATATATCGCGTGCCCTCTTCCGAATTCATCTTGTTACACGCTGTGCTCACTAGTCCCACAAACAACGGTGTTCACAATATTCTCAGAAAGATACGCCATTCGGTAACTTCTGTACATTCGGACTTACTTTTTATTTGTCCGGGAACTCGAATCATTTCGCCGATTGTGCTTCAGTGTAACGACGATCAGGATGATTACGCGTGAAACGATATCTTATATCAGGATGGCTCGTACGAAGACACTCGGTACCGGTCTTTCTCCGTCGGAGAGAGGTGTGCAACCCCCCACGACGGACTCCTGGGCACAGCGCCGTGTTTGATAATGCATCGAAGCGCATCGTTCTCCTTTCGACGATATTGTTGATTTTAACTGGATGATTATTATTATCATTTATCTGTAGCAATGTGATTGGATCGGTTAACGGCCTGCCAAGAAAAAACGCGTGACCGGTGCATAACTTTTAAACTATCCGCTGCAAATTGCGACGATAAAAATATACGCTGGAGTCGCAATTATATCAATTAACGGCCATGTCGACAATTGCTTGGCATTCTCGAGATATATACCTTCTATCAAGACCTATAGGATCCTGAGATAAAGACCTGTAAGATGGATCTAACGCAGCAACGTAGTACTGTTTGGCGATCATTATACTAACACTATGAAAACTGTTTATTTTCAGATAGCAAACTGATGTTATTTTTCGTCGTATTTTGATACCAAAATGACATTAAAAACCTTATTTTCACGTCAAAATGACGACAAATAACGTCCTCTTGCTATCTGAATTGGCGTGAAAGAGAAGATCAATCAAAGTCGTTTCGAAGTCGTTTTCTTCTTCCTACCAACCGCATAGACTCCTTAAAAACTGATCTTCGAAAATGTGTGCTGCACGAGAAAATACCGAAGGCCGGTCGAGTCTTGTTCCATAACACGGCCGGAATTTCTTCCACACAACGCAAAAAAGCCACTAATGAGATTCGCGTAAAAGTTATACCAGTCGCTCTTCTCCTTGGCAGACCGTGAGTTTTTCAGCGAAGCTAAAGGACACACCGCCGGCGTCCAGAACAAGTTTAGGGTGAATTTTTTTAGCCGCGGTAGGGTACGATTCTCGAATCGGGAGAAATAGCAATTTTAAATGGTGAACGTGTAAGACGCTAATTGAACATGCGAGGCGAGGTAAACGAGCTGTGCGAGATAGAAAATGTTTTCGTTTGCGCGAAAGAGAGAGAGAGAAAGAGAAAGAAAGAGAGAAAGAAAGAAAGAACGAGAGAAAGTGGGACGCGGTGAGGAGTACATTTCAAAATCGCATGTACAACAGCCTCTCCCAATGGGGAAAAAGGAAGTACGGCGAACAGGATGAGAGAACTTCCCTTAGGATTTCTTTCGCTTTCCGACATGCGCGCTTTATTTCGAGTTTGAGAGCCACACCGTCTCGGGATGAATTTGTCCACTTCATTCAGCTGTCGCAAAATGCAAAGTATTTAAGCCAATTAGCAGACAACAGAGATGTATACATTTAATAGTATAAGAATCAGCCGCAATTCCATGTTCCGAATGATCACTGCGTACGCACACGCATGCACATACGCATGTACACATACATATATATGTGTATGTATGTGTGTATTTTTTTTTTTACATAAAATGTTAAAGAGAGTGATTGATTTACAGAACGATCATGTGTGAGAGAGAGAGGGGGGGGGGGGAGAAGATAACGAACCGCATTGTATTTTAATCGTTATTTATCTTAGCCGACTCGTATATGCGACGTTTTTACGAGCATTGCTCGCATGTTTTTAAACGTTTGTAGCGCGGAAGCGATTTTTCGACGAATTTTCTTGATCATCTGTTGCCCAGCCCAGCCTCAGCCCCCAGCTGATTCATTAAGATGAAAAGAAATAATTAACTCTGCATGAAGGCAAATCAACTTATATCTACAGCGTGTACACATTGTCATAATATTATTATGATTATTATGATTATTATAATTATTATCATATATAATAATGTAATTTTATAATCACTCGCGCCCCTCTTGTTATCATTCAATTTTCGCCTTTCACGCATCTTGGAGTAGTTCGATTATTTTGAAGTTTTGTAACATAGAAAGTTATTTATTCCTCTGTTTTCAAGAAGAAAAAGATCGTATTATTGAAATTCATATTTGTGTGTACAATGAAGATTTTGAAATGTCAACGAATAATTTGGGCAATGGAGGATTAACATACCTCTTAATTTTCGATCGCGTGTAACTCATTAGTATGTCGATCGGTACTTTCTGTAGCCGCGAGAAATCTTTCTTCCGTGTTCTTTAAAACTTTCCACGATTTTTACGTTTTATCTTTTGCAAATCTAGCGCGGGATGCACGTACGGCCTTTGAAAAAGTCCCGTACGAGGTGTGCCTGCGGAAAACAATTACGAGATCTCTTTGGAACATGTTTTTGCGGCAGAAGTAAAGTAACCTAAGTTTCCTAACGTCACGAGTAAAAGCATTGTGTTCAGAAACAAATATAACTATAATACGACTGACAGAGAAAGAGAGAAAGAGGCATCGCGTAAGCGTCCTTTGAGAACCGAGCATGAAAGAGTGATAATATCTGATAATATATCTTGATGTCTCGTTCGGTATACACCTACCGGGACAAAAAATATAAAGGATGAATGGAATAAAGAATGAAAAGAAGAGAGAGAAAGAAAGAACGCGTGCTCATGCGAATGTATGCGGATATGTATGAGAGAGAGAGAGAGAGAGAGAGTCAATCGAACATGTGAATTAAGAAATAAAAACCGATTTATTAAGATGAGAAAAATAATTAACAAAACTCTATACCGGATGAAGGAAAATGAACTTGTATCTAACGTGTATACATTGTCATAACATTATTATGATGATTATTATAATTATTATTATATATAATAATGTAATTGAAAATTTGAAACGATATTACATAAGGTTAATAATAAACAAAAGCATCTTCACCTTCTGCTGTTACCTTTTCTTCCGTTGTCACCTTTTGCACCAATTCATCTTTGCGCGAGAACAAAAGAGAAAGAATAAGATGCATTCGCGATACGTATTTATAACGAACAGATTACTGAAATAGAAAAAGAAAATTAGCGACATATTATTGAATCAATTATTGGCTGATTTATACATATATCAATAAACGTCTTTTATGCTTCTTGATGACCTTGAAAAGATGTTAAATAATAATATTAATAAAATTTTCTATATATAGAGAAGTTATGTGTTTAATTAATAGTATTCCGAATATACGGAATGCCTTTGAAAAAACATGGTAGTGCTCCAATCAATCACTGCGGGGATTCGAATCGTGGCCTAATGCCTAAGATTTTTTAACGTCTTATCGACGATGCTATTATAATTATTATGACGATAGCGCCGATAGGTAATGAGAGTGGCGTTTTTTCAAGATTGTCGTTCCTATTGACTATCGCTAGTTAAAGATAGCGATAATCATCGATAAGACGTTAGAAAATCCTACTACTTACTAGTCTCCGAGTTTCCCCTACTAAGGAAAGAAACACTATCACTGTTAACATACTTTTTTTTCCTCATTTCTTCTAATTCTTAGAACTAGAAAAATATGCATTGCATGAACAGTTAGTTGAATCGAGATTAAAATTAAACTACGTTGTTAGAGAAAAGGGCATTTGAAACACAGCTCTTACAAATAGAGGTACGTAAAGTGTGTAAAAAGTGTATTCTCGAAAATTGAAACCGCAAAGGGATTTGAGTTTCGTATGAATTAAATTCTGTACTATATAAGAGACGAGGAAAAAGAATTTCTGTAAGATGATATAATAACTTTTTCATTGTTTTTTTATATTCAACATTCAATTTTATGACGTATTATATATTTGATCAGCTGATATTAATCAGCTGTTTATCAATCAATGTTTATAAAATTTGGCATTTGATCAAATATTAAAAATACTACTGTCAATTGTTGTTACTGTCTATTGCGATTATTCTGCATGATTGCATAGTGTATAGCATAAATAGGTAAATAATTACAAAAAATGTAAGTTGAGTAAACAATAATTGATGATATTATATATACACTACACTATACATGTACATATGTATATGTTTTATTACATATAAATTGCATTTTTTATAAGATAATTATTAATAAATATTCTGAACATTATCTGTTAATTAATAATTTATTAAAATAAAAATTATAAGATAACACACACAATACAAAAATACATATATGTATCAAATAATAAAAAATTAATTAAACTTTTATTAGATAATAATTAACCAGCTTTAGAAAATTCAATTATTTATAATATAATATGTAATATATATTTATAATTTGAATTTTATAAAAGTGAATATATGCAGTTGTTGTTAATAAAAATTTAATTAAGTATTCATAATTTTAGTAATTAAATGTGTGATATTAATAATAATATAAATATATTGAAAAATAAAATAACGAAATTGGATAGTTTATTATCGATTCGGTGATCACCACGAGAGAGCGATTTGATTATAGACAAGTGATTTCCGCCAGTTCCGTGAGAAGTCGCTATCGCGATGATTTTTAGCAGGGGAACATCAGACAACATGTCCGTCTCGCGGGAGAAGAAAGCGTGTCAATTATTAGTGCTTCAATTTTTTAGCGTTTATAACCGGACAAATGGCACCTATGTCGATCTAGCCGCACAAAATTAATCTACATCGTTGAGAAAGAGAAAATGAGTTTCTCTGTGAAGAAGACAGGCGGCAGAATGTGGCACGAGGCACGCAAGCAGGAAAAGAAGATCCGCGGTATGCTGGTCGATTACCGTCGCAGAGCGGAACGTAGAAGGGACTACTACGAGAAAATCGTAAGATACTGCGCAAAAATGTATGCAATGAATTTCTTCCTTCGTGTAGTTTAAAACGGATCGATGCACCACGAATTTTTTTTTTTCCTCTGTTTCTTAGTTAACCTTACTGTGTGTCTTTGTTTTATATTTAAAATATCATTGCGGACAGAAGTATTTCTTTGGTATATATAATGATTGTACGCTTTTGTTCCATTTAGAAATCAGATCCTACTCAGTTTCTGCAGCTCCATGGCAGACCATGCAAGATACATTTGGATCCAGCAATAGCTGCTGCAGGTGATAGTCCTGCAAACATGTAAGTTATCCAACATAAGGATCACTAATTGTGCTCGTTCATTAGTAGAAAATAATATATTTTATTATTAGGATGCCATGGCAAGGCAACGATGACAATCTTATAGATCGGTTTGATGTACGGGCACATTTAGATTGGATACCAGAACCGGTAGACACTATCGACGTTGATATTGCTCTGACAAGTGAAGACAGACATATCAACTATGAACGCTACCGTATAATTGTGCAAAATGAATTTTTAGGCGGTACATTGTTTCCCTTTTATTTGTTATACAAAAAATCATACTATTATATTAAGTTTGGTTCATCAACAAAGTTGGATGCTGCAAAAGATAAAAAGAAATCTGCTAATAATGCTGCCATCGGATATAATTATGAAACAGAAGAGCCAATACCCGAACCAGTAAAAACAGTAGACCCAGTTATATCAGAGGAGAAGGGAGATGATGAAGATAGCGATATAGATTTAGGTACCATTATTTACTTAATGCACTATTTAACACATTTTGATAAGGCATTTTGTATATAAACTAGTGATCGACTTAAATTCCTGTACATGAAAAAAAATTATATATTTATGTTTAGAAAAAAAATACGTGTATAAAATACATACATAACATTTATTATATATGTATATGTAATAAACTTTTTACTAGTTTTTATAAGTGATAGGTCAAAATCTCACTATATACAATACTCATTAAGTTTGGAAACACCCATGTTTTAGAGGCAAACATGACAGCGATCTATACATGTTTTTTATTTGAATATACGTCGGACAATTATTTCACAACATCGCAGCGCTCAAGGTTGAATTTCGCGTTCTGGTCTATTGTCATTCGTTTTGCAATGTCATGTATTTGTAAATACACAGCACAGGTTGTTTAATTGTAGTTTCATGGTTTCTGTTAGAGTGATAAACTGTTTGAGTTACAAGTTGATTTTAGACTCCATAAAAACTGTAAACACCACAATAGTCACCGAAAATGGCCTCAAAGATTTCGTATGAATCGCGCGTCAAAATAAAAATAATTGTCCGACATATTTTTGGCATGTACAAGCTTATAGGTATTCTAGATAAAAATGTTCATTGTAATTTAGATGTCTTATGATGTATTTAAATAAAAAAATATGTATAGATCGCTGTTTGGCTCTAAAACGTAGGGTATTTACAGAGGGTATTGTATATATGAATGCTTTGAAGTATTTAATTAAGCAATTAAAAGAAAAAATGGACTGATCAAAAATGCTTTAAAACATTATATTGACTATATTGTCTGTACTTTGTAATATTTGAACAACAAAAAACGATCTAATACATTTTTGGTTAATAATATATTAATGTACTTTCTGGAATACTACAAGAACAAATTTTTTAATGGTATACTATTTTTTTCAGACATATGCGTGGATGTATCTCAAATAGAGCCATCTCAGGCACATGAGATGAATTTAGTAGCTCAAAAATATGGACTTTTAGGTGCTGATTATTTTAGCTTTTTAACACAAGATTTTGAAGAAGCTGAAACCTTACGACAGGCTCGTAAGCAAGAAGAAGAGAAAGCTATGTACTCGGTAAATATTTGCAACACAATTCAAACAATATATTTTTATAACACATAATTTTATATATAGTATATATTATAATATACTATAATCAAATATCAGAAGACATTTCACATTAATGTAAATATTTAATATAAAATATGTAATAATTAATACGTTGAGAATGGCGAATAAGAGTCAATCTAAATCTGATAATATATTCTAATATTCTATATTGCGAAGAATATCACGTAATGTTTGGCGTTTCGTCATATCTCTTTATATAGAATCTCGATTTAATAACTTACACCGGCGTCTAAGGTAGGCTTCCACTACAATACCTTACTGATGAGTCCAGTAGTGGAAGCCGGGACGAAACGCCAAACATTACGTGATATTCTTCGCAATATAGAATATTAGAATATATTATCAGATTTAGATTGACTCTTATTCGCCATTCTCAACGTATTAATTATTGTTTATAAAAAGAGTCCTTTATTTCTTCAATTATTTGTTTATAAAATATGTTTTAATATTTATTTTTTATTTTATATAACAGGGTCGACGATCGCGTAGAGAAAGACGCGCATTCAGAGAAAAGAAGATGATAGGCCGTGTTATGAGTCCGCCTAGGTAATAATTCATTACTCTTCCACAAGCAAATATTATTTTACGTTATGCTTGTACAAATTCTGTTATCTTTGTCTCAGTTACGCAGCTAGAGAAAGCCCGGAATATAATCCTTATAGAAAGTCCTCTTCCAAGTCGCGATCGCGGTCGATATCACCTGTAAATACGGGACAGATTACTTACATCACAAGCTTCGGTGGAGAAGAAGAAACTCACAGTAGCACATCACATGTATCTTCGTCGAATTCAAGAAAAGTCAATTATTCGTATCTCAGACGGCGGAGATCAGATAGTCCTGCTTTCAATGATAGAACTGTTAGTAAAAAAATTTCCAAGTCCAGGTCAAGAAGCTGCTCACGTTCCGTTAGTAGGACCAAGTCGTATAGAACACGTGATAGGAAGCGGAGCGGATCTAGGATGAGGTAAGTTGCAAAAATAAAAACAAGAAAAATTAATGAATAATTCTTAACAAATGTTTTACTTTAATATACATATAGTATTCAATCTACTTTTGAGACTTTAACGGGAATTTTCTTTATGTGTTTCGCAGGTTATCTTCATATCCTATTATTAATTTGCTAATATAAAATGGACACGAAGATAATCCGCGAAGTGTATATATTTTTTATAGTATTTAATCTGTTTTATCTTAGATCTAGACGAACACGCTCGAGGCCTCGGAAGTATACAAGATCTCGTACAAGAAGTCGCTCCAGACGATCACGAACGCGAAGTAAATCACGGTCGCGTTGTAGAAGTATCAGCAGATCTCGATCGCGTTCAGTTTCTCGTTCGAGGTCTAGATCACGCTCGCATTTGAAGAGATCACGGAGTTCATCCTCTAGCAGCATATCAAAATCAAGATCAAGGTCTAAATCGCGTAACAGGAGTCATTCTAGAGACAGTTATCGAAAAATACGCTATTCGTTGTCAAAGTCAAGATCCAAGTCTCGCTCGAAATCTCCATCAAGATCCAGATCGAGAAGTCAATCTAGTTGTAAACGATCGCGAAGTGATGATAATAAGACGCCAGCACTGCCTAGGTGAAGATAGTACAGTTTTTTCCAAGAATTAAATCAATGTAACGTATTGAATAACTTATATATTTTACATACAGGTATTATGGCCGACGTGGAAAATCATCAAGTCTTGAACTAGAATTATCCGATAACGAAGAAAAGTCCAGTCCAGCAGCATCGAAGACGCCGATAAATACAAGCATGTAAGCATTTTATGAGCAGCAATTTTGATTTGTCACGCATTTTAAATTATCATGTATAGATCAGGAGACGCGGTAGTGTCTCCAGCCATGTTCAAAAACTGAGAGACACTACAAGTCTCTTA